GTGCAGGATTTCTTGCCTTGCGCAGCAGCGACCTGATACATGGTGCGAAAACTGGCTAGAAAACATTGTTAACACGAATGACCATACGTCTGTCAGTGAACTCTATCTACCCTCGTCCAACAGTGCAACACTTCAGGGGCTTCAGGACAGCGCCGGGGAGGAAGGTTAAAATGATATCCGTTTACTAGGAAGCCGCAGCAAAGCATCGAAGAGTTCAGGAGACTCAGCAATTCAGCCACAGAAACGACACGGACATATCGATGGTCTGCCTTTCAATGCATTTTTTGCAAAGCATCGAGTCTAGATCGTCCTGTGTCTGGCACCACAATGATACCGCAAGGCTGCAATAGGTGAGGAATGGCTTTACCATGCCTTCAGTGCACCAAAGCCTTCACATGCAGTGCACAGTTGAGTGCCTGAATAATCGAAGGTTGGTTTTAGCCCAGGTCGGCTGCTTCCTTCAGAAGAGCCCACCTCCCATAAAGTGAGCATTACCGCCTGCCATCGCCCTGATTAGATCCGCCTCACTGGTTCTTAGAGCAGCCTCCAGCTCCTCATCCGAATCCTCCCCTAGTAGGACACGCTCGATCTCCGCGTCGATCTCGGCCATCCGCCCTTGCGAAAGGCCTGAAACAGCCGAGATCCCTATAGGATCCCGGCTTTGGGCAGCGAAAAGATTGGGTGAAGGCTGCTGCGTCGAAGGACCCCCCAGCCGCACCCAGTTGTTGTAGAAAGTCTGCGTGGTAGGATGCTGGTCACCGAGCATCTCCTGGCTTTTCATCCACGCGGCTTTGAACAGCTCTTCAGCCTCCTTGAGCCTTCCTTGGCTTTGCATCACACCTCCCAAACTATTCAAGCAGATCAAGGTGTGCGGATGGTCGTCACCCAGCTTCTCCTGGCAGATCTGCAGGGCTTCCCTGCAGAACGGCTCGACCTCCCTGAATTTCTCGAGGTGCAGCATGCTGGTAACCAAGCTCATCAAGGTGCCCAGGGTGTCCGGATGGTCCCTGCCCAGTCTTTCCCGTCGCTTCTGCAATACTTCTCGATACAAGGGCTCGGCCTCCCTGTTTCTTCCTTGCTCTGCAAGGAGAGTGGCCAAGTTTTGCATGGTGGTCGACGTGCTGAGGTGGTCCGTACTAAGCTTCTCCTGGCAGGTCTGCAAGGCTTCTCGGAACAGGGCCTCAGCCTCTTTGATTTTGCCCTGCTCTTGCAGTGCACCTGCCAAGTTTTGCAAGGCACCCAAACTGTCCTCATGATGAACACCCAGCTTCTCTTGACGCCTCTGCAACGACTCTCGGAACAAAGGCTCTGCCTCGCTGGGCCGTTTCTGTTCTACCAGAGTGGTAGCCAAGTTGTTCAAGGAAATCAATGTGTCGGGATGGTTCGGACCAAGCTTCACCCGGCGCTTCTGCAAGACTTCTCGGTAGAAGCGCTCGGCATCGTCCAGCTTCTCCTGCGATTGCAGCGCGCCTGCCAAGTCGTTCAAGGTAGACAAAGTCTCCAAATGGTCGCTCCCGAGCTCGTCCTTGCACTTCTGCCAGTTCTCTCGCCACCGAGATTCCGCCTCTTGATATTTTCCCTGGATGTACAGGGTGTGCGCCAGGGATTTCAAGATTTTCCGTGTCATTCTGTGATTTGCGCCGAGCTTCTCCTGGCTTCTCTGCCAGGCTTCACGGTGCAAGGGTTCGGCCTCGTCAGCCCTTCCCTGCATGTTCAGGCAGGTGGCTAGGTTCGTCAAGGAGATCCAGGTCTCCTCATGGTCCTTGCCGAACTTGTCTTGGCGCTTTTCCAGGCATTGTCTCCGAAGCTCCTCGGCTTCAGAATGCCTTCCCCGTCCGTCCAACCGGTCTGAGAGCAGGGCCATGCAGTTCAGAGTATCGCAGTGCTCGTTTCCCAAACGTCCACGGAGCTTTGACAGTCGAAGCTGCAGAAGCTGAATCAGCCCTTCGGCTTCAGCGGTCGCATGCTGAACGGCGCCTCCTTCGCTTGCGAGTCTGACGACCCAGACGTCACGATTGCGATGGACTGCACGGCCCTTGTAGTCCTCTCCGAGGGCAAGGGGGCGTTCCTTGCCGCTCTTGTCAGTCACTCTCTTCGCCTTCATGTCAGGGGTCTGCTTCTCAAAGATGTTGTAGGCAATGGAGTCTGGAACGATGAGGGGCACGCAAAACTGTGCCCTGTGGCCCGTGGTGTTGCCATCGCCCCATTCCTTCTCAACTCTTCGAGATTCTTCATCGCTTGTGTCTGGCCGAAGCGGATCCTCGTTGCTGTAGTTGTTAAGGAGGATTCGCACCCTTGAAGCCCAAACTGCGGGCTCGTGCTGCGTGGCATAGACGCCCTTCCCAAAATGAGCGCGCTCATCTACCAGGGAGGCAAATATCTCTGCCGCCGATAGCTGTGAATTGCCAACGTTCAGGAAGGCCAATTCGTTGCTGTAGTGGTAGAGCACACGGATGTTCTCACCTTTTTGGCCAAAGCCACGCAGATCAAAGGCGAACTGCCAAACGAAGGTTGGGCCATCAGCGCCTTCGAACTTATAGATCGGCAGGCCAGCTTCAACCTGCCCATGTTCGTAGCTGTCTTTCTCAAAGACCTCGCCATGAAGGTATCTGCCAACAAAGTATTCCGAGAGGTCGGCTTTTTGTAGCTGTGCCTGCACTTCCTTCTTGATCAGAAGCCCACCAGGTGCTGAAGAACTTTGTGAGTCCGGGCCAGGGTCCTTCCTGGAGGCAGTGCTATCGATGCCGTGAACCACCTTGACTTCATATTCCTGGCTGGCACCAGATCCCATGCGTCACTTCGAAGCCTGTGAGCGTCCACTTCGCCGTTAAATGGCTACAGGAAGTGCATCGTTGACACAGCTGCTCAGCAGGCTTATTCCGGCTTGCTGCAGGGAGCTACAACATCACTACCAGCACCAATGCTGTTCTCCTCGTGTTGAGATGCTTACAAGTGTCATAATGATGATGATGATGATGATGATGATGTGATGAGGATGATGATGATGATGCAGATGATGAAGATAGTGTCAAAGGTGGCGACCATTGACGGGTGCTGTTACAACGTCTCAGTCCAGAGTGTACGACTCATTCACGCCGAGAGCAAGGTCCGCGGTGGAATCCTCGGCCGACAATAGACGCGCAGACTGTCACCATCGAAGACACGACAGAGCCCACCGGCAGGACAAAGGTCTGTGAACTTGCGAGCCCCTAAGCTGCCACCTCTTAACTACCACCGGGCATGTTGCCGCCAGGGATCCTCGACGTTCACTACAAGGCCGGCATTCACTGCAGAAGGATGTGCCGTGGTCGCCCGTGGGAAAAACAGTGGCTGGTATCTCTTGAACGCCCTGAGCAGTTCGGCGGGCGTTGTGATCGCCTCAAAGCCTGCCATGCAGCACAAAAGGAGCTCAGAAAATAAATCACCACAACTTCGGAGTGAAAAAAATCGACCTGCAGCCATGCAAGCCTCCTCTTAGCTCTGTAGTATAGCCCTCTTAGAATGCGCCCTACGCACAGGGACCTAATTCTGACGCCCCCCAGCTGCAGCACGGAGCATCCCTGAGTCCGAGCAGCTGTAGGTCGCAGGATTCAGCAGCACGGTTCCGGTGCCAGGACTTGGCTTTGCAAGGCTTGCAGCTCTCTCAAGGAGCCGTGCAAATCTTCGCTATAATGCTTCGGTCGTGGTCGAAAGAAGAGTGCGTTTGTGATGCATGGACCTGGGACCCAGATCCATCTCATGTGCGGAAGTTTCTCACCCCCACGCAAGGTCCGCAAGGTGCTCTCAGATTGCATGGAAGGGCAGAGACTCACGCCGTCGTTCCTATCACCCTCATCATCACCATGAAAGTCGTCAACATACTTAAGATTATCATCACTATCACCACCATTATCATCATGGTGGTCATCGTCATAGTCATGGCCATTGTCGTCATCGTCGTCATCATCATCATCATCATCGTCATCCTCGTCTTCATCGTGAGCATCGCCATAAGCTTCGTCGTCTTCACCCTGGACATCATGCTGCTAGCCTGTGCTACTCTGCGACTCGCATTATGGAGGCAGTACCGCCTCCTCGTGCAGCAGAGTGGCACAACACGGTTTGGTAGTGGCCACAGCGGTCCCAGGGCTGCAACCTGCGGTGGTTGGGGCATTGCGATGGCAGGACCGAAAGACCGAAGGGGGGCCCTTAAAAAAACGTGGCAATCTTGGTCGGGTGTTGGAAGTTGCAAGAATGGCAACGGCAGGAACAAGTCGGAGGTTCTCCCTCATGCGGCTGATGGCCTGGGTGACGAGAGCCAACTGCAGCAGCGGGCGCATGGCGCCCTTGCACAGTGAATGGCAAGGAGTGGACTACAATGTGCAACACGGGATGTGGGCAGTGCAGGAGCTGTGGGCTTCTGGGTCTAGTGACTAGATGATGGTAACTTCGAGCTCTGGCTAACATACGGCGCTAACGATCTAGCGATACCTCTTTCAAGTGCACCGCCAACAGGCTACAGCCAGGGCGCAGCACAATGCCAACGAACGCAGCAACACTTCTGACGTCACAGTGCAACATGCAGCCCAGTCGCTGCCAGCTGATGGAAGATGAGGCGGTGATTTTGGAACTCCGCAAGGAGCCAAAACGGGCATAGTCCGGGCCGTGTGTGGATTGGCGACGGAGAGAAAGCAATGAAGCCATTCTGTGATCAGCAACGGTATCACGCATTTGTACGCACACCAACTTGTGCACCGCTGACGAATAGCGCAGATGATTGAAATTGTTTGACTCTCTTGGCGGTTTAGGTCATCATGACTTTCTGACTTGCTTCCACTTTTGCTCAAGACGATCCTGCGACTGCCCATGCTATCAGATCTTTCCTGCTTCTGCTGCTCCTGCTGCTCCTGTCTTCTCCTGTTACGAACCCAGGGAGCCACCCTAAACCCTAAACCCTATAAACCCTAAACCCTTAAACCCTTAAACGTGCACCTGCCTGACTCGGATCGGCTTTGGGCGGCCTCGGCTGCATCTCTGTCGGCCGGCGGAGCTCGAAGATGATAACGGGAACCTTCAGCATCTCCATATGGGAGTTTCCGAAAATTGGGGGTACCTTATTTGGGGATCCTTATAATAAGGATCCTACTATTTAGGGTACTATAATAGGGTCCCCTATTTTCGGAAACCACCCATATAGTAAAATCCTACTCTTTGGGCTTTTCATGCTATTAGAAGAACTCATGCAAGATGACAAACATGCACCAGCTATAGCAACGGAGAATTTGACGAACCCAAAATCCATCTCTCATCCGACCTGGGCTTAAGATCACTCGAAAGCTAAGGCGAACATGAATTCAAGGTTTAGGGTTTTAGGGATTTGGGGTTTAGGGTTTTAGGGTTTGGGGATTTAGGGATATAGGGATTTAGGAACCCCAGAACCGCTGAGTTTCCTGCATCCTCCTCACCTGCAAAGACTGCAGCGGCTTTAAGTCGAAGGACGCTGGTCAGGTTTCCCCAACCCGACTCCAGTCATACCGATAAACCCTGAACCCTAAACCCTAAACCCTAAACACACCGGATACTGACTGAAATCAACACTCAACAACTTTGAACAATTCTGACGGAACTCGCTGCCACTACTCCCCCCTCGACTAACCTCGGAGATACCAGCTGCTTCCCTGAATTTCAACTACAGAAGCATCTCAGAGCCTTCGAGGCTCTTGGCCATCACGCTGTGCCGCTTCGAAACGGCCAGGCTCTTCAAGGAGGACTCCAGCAGATCTGCCTCGCCTTCCCAAGCTCCAAGGTCTGGAGACCCCTCCAAACAAGCCTCTGCCTACCCAGAGATCAGGGCCCCTTGGTTCCAGAAGACACAACAACAAGAGTTGTATAGCAGGTTTGGGAGACCTGATGTAGAGTCACTATAGGGGGTCTGGTTAGGTCAAGGCCTGCGGTGCGGCTTAGGGCTGTGCAGCTTCACATGAAGCTGTGGACCCACCACCGGACACTGGACAGTGGGCGAGGTTGCGAAAGCTGTGCTACAACACTCGTCTTGTCCTCCTGGCGCTGCATCGACACAGCCACAAGGCACTCTGCAAGCACTGGTCTCAAAAATTGAAGCTCCGCACCCTAGGGCCAGAACTCCAAACAAAGCTGGATCCACGGGAAACCATGAACCCTGAACCTTTGGCAGCTTGCGCGCCTGGTCGATCCTGGAGGCTGAAGACCGCCCTTCAGAGTGCAAAACTACTCATAGGCCGACATGCTCCAAACACACCGAGGAAGTCGGAAGCGTGACACATGACTTTTGACGGGTGCAAACTGCAGGCAGCACTACATCAACAGTTTCCGCAGTAAAACCTGCATGCATCTCAGCTGCTCACTCAAGGAAAACTGGAGGGGCAGCAACGACACCCCGCGCTGGTTTGCATGTTCATGGCACTGTACTAGAAAGATAAACCGCATAAACCCTAGGTGACAGGGGACCCTTGCTCAGGCGACAGCGGCACGGCTGACGGACATAGAGCGGTGCGAGTTTGGGGCATAAATTGTCGATACCCTGCCCCAACCGCCCCAATACCAGCCACTGAAAAAAGATTTGCCGAACTGAAGGCAGTCGCTACATGTGACTACGTACTGCCCTCCACATGAGCTCGCAAGCAGTGTCTGCGCCTCCCACCAGGTGCAAGGAGACGTTCGGCCGTCGAGAGCAGCTCACCTAGAAAGAGTCCGTGAAAGGTAATCTGACTTAGCCGTTTGACGGTTGGTCAAGGTTTCCGGAGAAGCACGCACGTGCCTGCTTACTCCTTTCGTCCCCCGCGACCTACTCTTCTCGTGTTTTGACACCTATAGCAGAACTAACACATAACAGTATCAACAGGACCTGCCTCTACAAGGCAGGTCCTTCTGGGGCAAGACCTGATACGACCTCATCACGCCGTATCTAAACCATCCCAACTCCACAGGCCACCATCCCCCAAACCCCCTCCTTCAGGAAGACCAGCATATGCCTTTACAAGTAAGGGACAGAAACCCACAACCCACACCTCCGACCCCAAACTTAGACCCTAAACTGCAATTCCTAAACATGAAACCGCCTAAACTCCAAATCAAGCACCTGAACACCAAATGCAAGTTCAGTGCCCGACCGATGCACTGGGGTCGGTAGCTCACATCACTGCCCACGACCATCTCGAAGGTACCTCGCAGATAAACGGCGACTACCTTGCATCTATTGGTATCACACTATATACACAGACTACATGTGCATCAATACAACGGACACATAGAAAAATGTGTACCCAATACGCATGTCTACATGCTCATTTTTCCAACACACATACATACACGCATACATACAAAGCATACATACAAAGCATACATACAAAGCATACACCTACACATGCAACCACGCTTGCGGCTGTCATGCATGGAACCTCGGCCTGAGATCCTACCCGCCAGATGACACTTCAAGCACATGCCTCCTCTTGCAGATCCCCGATTTGAAGCGGAGGGAATATGAAACAAAGTACTATACGATAACGAATCATAATATGACATAATATATAATGGTAGAACATATTACAACAAAATATAATATAGTATAACATTACATAATATAGTATAATATGATATATTTCAATATAATGTGGGCCAAGGGGCCAAGAACCTCCATCTGCTCCTGGTCCCCCCACGTCAGGGGAGCCACCTGCCGGTGGCAAAGCGATGGGCTCAAAGTCTCCGGCCTTTAAAAGGAACCCTAAGGGTCCAAGTACCTAATAATCACATACCCCTTATTACTGGGTCCTTTGGACCCTAAGGGTCCAAGTACCTAATAATCACATACTCCTTATTACTGGATCCTTTGGAACCCTAAGGGTCCAAGTACCTAATAATCACATACTCCTTATTACTGGATCCTTTGGACCCTTAGGGGAAGGTACCTAATAATCATATACCCCTTATTATTGGGTCCTTTGGACCCTTAGGGGAAGGTACCTAATAATCATATACTCCTTCTTACTGGGTCCTTTGGACCCTTAGGGGAAAGGGCCTCAGAAACCTGAGAACTGAGGCTGTTGGTGGCTTCAGGTTTGTATGAAACCCAAAGATGCTCTTATCCGAAGTCTTTTCAAAAACCTTCAGGGCCTGAGCCCTAAACCCTAAACCCTAAACCCTAAACCTAAACTCCCTAAACCCTAAACCCTAACTTTCAAGCATCCCGATCCCGACCTGCAGGTCGAGGCCCGTCGGAGAGTTCTCGGAGACGTTCAGGCCCAGGAGCTGCAGTTGCTCGGGCACCTCCATCTTAAGAGGGTTTAGGGTTTAGGGTTTCCATAAGGGCTACTATAGGGGTAGCTAAGAGGGTTTAGGGTTTAGGGTTTCCACAAGGGCTACTATAGGGGTAGCTAGGAGGGCTAACTAGTAGCAATGGTAGTCGCAGTCCTTAGTCTGTGGCAAGTCTGCAGCAGGTGGTACAGTATCGCATTGAAGATGGTGATGCTGATGGTGATGCTGATGCTGCTGATGGTGGTGATGAGCCGCTGGGTAGCAGCAAACAAACACTTACCTTGGTCAAAGGCATGTAGGAGACTCTGAGATTTGATTTGCTTGGGCATGTCAAAACATCAGGCTCGTCGTACTCAGGCTCGGCAAGTAACTTGAAGGCCTAACTAGGCCCTAGGCTAGGGAATTAGACCCAGGTTGATCCTACAGGGGCAGGTGGCCCGGTGCTCTTAGCATCCGAGCAGTTCCCTGCCCTTCGATGCCTCCGTGAGGGTAACTTCGCAGCCCTTGTGAAGGGCCATGAAAAGTCCTCGGTCGCAGTTCGTTCTGCATTAATTTTCTTGGGAGCCTGGCTAATCGTAGATCCCAGTTCTGTCAGCTGAAACTGTTCTCCACATCTGTTAGGTCCATGCTCTCATCTGGCTCTACCAGCATGCAAACACACATGGGGTAACATGTCAGACCGGGCTGTCTCAGGCTTAGGAACCGGATGGCCCGAAGAAAGTAGTAGCCCGCACGCTCCAATTCAACAACAACCGTCGCAAGGCACCAAGAACTACAACTCCAGATCCCTGAGAACATCTTTACATGTTCAATCCAGAAGGCTTCATGAGCCGTAGAGAAGGGCCATGTCCGAAATAAATGACCCCAACCTAGACACAACATGTTGAAAACTTGCATATCCTGGCACATACAGGCCACCAAACTAAACCCCGACCGCTCCCAAATCCTAACCAGGTACATGCACACAAAACGCAATCGTCGACGGCCCCTGATGATGCAGTTTCAGAAGGTGCATGTGCACTGGGTTTGGGGTTTAGGTGTTTAGGGCTTAGGCAAAGGATTTCCAACTGCAAAGAGAAAAACATCCACTACAGGCCTAAAAAGCCACATGCCATCCAGCAAACAACCTGGAAAACACGGGGCCCCATGACGTCGTGTACGCCAGAAAACCCTAAACCTCAGAGCCAGCATAAGCCCGGGCGCCCACTGCGCCAACACCAGCTCCAAGCTCCACACAGCGAAAATTCAGGCAGGATTTCTTCACCTGCCAGGAGTGTAGGCAGAAATGTTCGTCTGTTGCATCGGGTTGAGGATCTTGCAGGACAGCAATAAGTTGTCGTGGTTCGTAGTTTTGAGGGGGTCCGCAAATTAAATGGGTTGGCTTCCGATGGCACGCCGCCGACAGCCGTGGGACGCTCAACATGTTCGCGAATTTGGTACTTGAGGGACATGGGCACGTGTTATTGGTGTTTGCCGCAGTTGTGTTTTGTAATGGTGACGCCGCTGCTGCTGCTGCTGCTGCTGCTGCTGCTGCTGCTGGTGGTGGTGGTGGCGGCGGTGGTGGCATTCAAAGCCCGGCCTGCCCATCAAGGTACTCGACGAGAGCTGTGGCTGCTGGCCAAAGAACTGCTCCGGTGGTTCCAACGGCAAAGCGGCCTGCAACGGTTCTATTCCAATCGGAAAGCATGCAAGGAATGCCCAGCGGAGGGATTGTCATCCTCGTTGCAGCAGTCGTGCTAGTCGTAGCGATAGAACCAGGTCATTTGTGTGAATAACGCGCCCTCCATTTCTAAACACAGCAAGATGCATCAATAAACAAAACTGATAATCACGTGCAAGTCGCGAGAATAGTACAGTAAATGCACAAATACTAGCCACACATGTTTCCAGCCTGAAACACAGTACAGCGCAGAACCAGCAGCTTGTGAGTTTCGGTTTCGGCGATGCTGCATGCGGGTCACAAAGAACACGTGTCGATTGTCGATGTCCAGCATCGCTTGACTCTCGTTGCCCCGAGGTTGTGAGCCCTGTCAGACGACTCCGCTAGCCGCTAGCACACAAATTAGTCAAACTTCTCTCTTGGACATGTACCAACTCTCAAGCAAGCGCCGAAGCTGTACGAACGCAATGGCGGCCTGTTGGGTCTTCTAGCAGTGTCAGCGACCTCCCCTTTGGTGGGCCAGGAATTGGAAAGTGCCTGCTCACAGGAGGACGATAGCGACTACAGCTGGACTAGCTGAACTCTGTAGAGCCATGGCCCAATGGCGACCCGTGCCACTTCCAGTCATGCATGCGAGCTTTTCACAAGATGGCCTCTTCCGAAGGTGGGATTCACGATCTTGGAAGGAGCTCGTATTGTGTTCCCAAATGTCTTCCATGCCTTACACGTCAGGCGAGTGCTGCTGGCAATGCAGCTATCATTATCATACTTGAGAGTGCTGGTTGGGTACGGGCTACTACGAGTACTTAATATGCTACGAACTACCAAGCTTGGATAATCACTTAAACATGTCGGCACCAAACAGGCACCCGACTGAACTTGAACGACGGATCAGCCCAGGCGATGGAAATGCCCAGAACCGTCACAACACAAGAATCAAAGCGAACTTCGCAGTGGTCTATGGACTCTCTAGCCCCTCAGCACGGTTTCGCGGAGGTGTTGCGCAACGAACGAAACAGCAGCAAGTTTTGACGACATTTGCCTCGGGACGGTATATATATTCTGTAGTGCAAAGTCAGGCTCCGGAGATTAACAACCATCCAGGATACTACCGGCCTGGAGTTTTGCACAGAACTCCGAGCTCCCCCACGTTTTCGGCACATGGCCGCCCAAAGTGCTGGAGGGACATTTGGCGGAAGCCCTCGCAGCTTGCACTTTCGAAACGGGGCCAGGGAAGCGTTCGAGGGTTTTATGGTGGATCTACTCGAAATGGCCAAAGCAGCCTTTGCGTGCCAGCAACTTGTTTTCATGACAGATGGCACGCTACTCAACTGCACCCCACCTCCACAAAAAGCCCAAACTCGAGGAACCGAAGCCTCACACCCTCAAGACTCAAGGCCCAAGCAAGACGGAGGCCCGACCTTGGGAAGACTCACGTCTCAACAACCTTCGTAACGCTGAAACCCCAAACTTAGGGCCTGTAAACATAGCATGAACACATCAAGCGCCTCTTTGCATACACAGCGATTTACGTTGGACACAAAGTTATAATATATAGATGTATCTACACATACACACAAACATGCACAATCCTCAACCGCCCATATAGAAGATAAAGACACCCTCTGCTGCTCACGGGGCCTTCCGGTGGCCGCTCGGCTCCCAGAGCTGCGAAGAGCGACGCGAGCTCGGGCACGGAGCCCACCAGTCCCTCAGCGTCGGAGTGTATCTTCACTGCAGAATTGGCTAGAACGGCGAGTACATAGCAGCAGTACTGGCAGTAGTAACGGTGGCAGTAATCTTGACCGTGGTGATAGCAGGTGGTGGTAGTAGTGGTAGGGTAGTGGTAGTG